TGCACGTCTTATATAGCCTACCAGCTGAGACAGGACGTTAATTAATAATAATAATAATAATAATACGCTAGTTAGTATAAACAACCTAGCGACGACATATATAAGCTAAGGGCGGTGGAAGGAGGCCGAAGAGCTGTAGATATAAGTAATATAGACGAGCAAGAGAGTGCTTACCAACGAGCATCCTAACACGCTGCTTAGTATGCATAATCTCGCGTTCACGCTATAGTTATAAGCTCGTTATAAGGAGGCTCTTACATTAATAGAAAGATACTTTTAGCTACGTAATTAAGCTCTTAGAGAGTAATATACTAATATATAGTCTTCGCTTAATACGCTAGGTAACTAGCGAGCAGAGTGTGAGTTAATTAATAGTAAGACAACTTTATAATATCGCCGCTATCTGTAGATAGTAAAGTTAGATGCTGTAGGCTACATAATCATGACTTTTAACGGCGTGCTATAATAAAGGCAGTGGTAGCTTCCACTAATTATAACAACTTCGATCCGCTCACCACGGCGAATCCATGCCAAACCATAATGGACCAAAGTACTGTACTGTAGTTAACTATGTAAGAAGCAAGCCACAGCGCGCAAGGTGGGCGCACAGATATTTCAGCACGCTACTACAAGCTACTACATACCAAGTACTGCTAACAGCGCACGTCCTGAGGGTCGCATTTTAACAATCTTGCTATTTGCACGGAGAAACTGCCGGGATGTCACTCCTTACCCTAGATCAACCTTTCGACACTGCAGTCTTGATCTTTGTTATCTCAGCTTTCTTCCTAGCCCACCAAGCTTTCCTTAGATATATACTATCACACATAAACAGGGGGTGTTAGATAAGAGTTAGTGAACAGCACTAACAGAATGGGCGATAGCATAGCTAACGATGCGCTTATTAGCATCGGAGGCTAATATGCCGAGAGAGCGAGAGCTGCAGAGTAGACGCGCATTGCGTTTATCTATATTCAAGAACACTAAGGGCAATCCGAGGGTCCGGAAGGGAAGGCGTCCCGTTACACCGTGCGTCCCGGCACGCGTGGATCGACATTAGTTCGAACGAAAGGCCGTATTATAACCCCAGAGCTTCGGCTCTGGGACCTCTGTAAGCGAAGCCCCAATTTTCAACCCAAAAAGGGCCATCTAGCAGTAATAGCAGCAATTTCTCGATGTGCGTATGTCCATGGGTAGAAGGATAGTATAAAAGTTCATATTGCTGGATACATGAAATGTGAAGACTCTCCCACTGTAAACTAATTTCTACACCCTACAATATATCAACTTAGTGCCTTCTTCGTCTAATGGGTAGATGATGATTGTTATCAGCAACTGCTGGAGTAACGGATCCCCGCGGCGGCTTCTCTTCTTCGTCAGTTGATCTCATCACCCGACCGGTAGAAGCCTGACTACGAGATGAATTATGCCCTATTACTTCTGATGTTTCATCCCTTGATTTAAGACAACCGTTTTTCCATTGCTTAAACGCCTTCTGAGAATCAGTAGCCGCTTCGAAAATCGATATATCCGCATCCTTCTTTCCCCATCTCTCTCTAAGCGCTGACCGGGGTTCCCAACGCTTTTCGAGATCTTTTCCTGTTAGATCTAGATCCCAGCCTATGAGTACATACACGCTTGGAATTCTTTGTGATGTTGATCCATTGTTTGAACCATTGCTAGAATCACAGCGATCGGGATCAAGAATGCTGAGTGAATCATCGGTCGGTTCGAATGCTACTCCGTATACACCTCCGACGTGTTTCGGACCATATATTTTCTTACCAGTTGTAGTATGCCTCATGTCTCCAAAGCGTCGGGCAGTGGAGGTGATCTTACAATCATCCGGCGGGTCTCCATCTCCATAATTCGTCGCCCACTCTGAGCTTGGATGGCGCTCTTTACGCCATATAGGTGCATCACGGGGTCCGTATTGATTGATGAAGAACCTGCCATTGTGGTCTCCCCATCCGACAGTTTTCATCTCGACCCCTTCGTAAGCATAAGTGCGACTAAATCGCTTAAGAAGCGGCACATCCTCGACGAACTGGGAGGGCTCCAGACCTTTTGGGAGATCCATCACTTCGTCCTGTGCAGCTTGAGTATCCACATTAATACCCTTGCAAACTTGTTCCAGGCTTTCCAACCCCGGAATGTTGAGAAGGTTCATTTTGTAATGGAGATTTGCGATGTGCTCCATGGCCTCCATGGGACGACCAACTCGGGCACATCGAACTGCAGCTTCCAAGTCATTTATGGGAATATTGTGATCAGACCTTCGGAGCCCTATCTGTATATTGCGCTCCCCGAGTTTGGTGTTGAGGCATTTTATCTGCTCGATACATAGCGGTAGAGTTGCTTCACGAATTTTTCCATCTTCTGTGAGCATAAATGGTAAGACCATATCAATGCACCCATCAAGATATTCAAGCTGCTTCTTTCTGACGTAAAGATAGGATGCTTCGAACAGCGCCAGCTGTTTCTGAACCTCTGTTGATGAAGAATCTCGTAGGCAGCGAAGGACTCGACGATGGGTGTCTTTTCCAATGACCATTTTCCAGTCTAGACCGGCCTTTCTAAGTCTGTTCGTCAAGGTAATTGCAGTTCCCACCAACCTGGAAAGTCGATCTTCGTTGGGAGCCTCCTCACACTCGGTGATGCATGTGCGCAGATTATTTAACCACAAATCAATCTCTGTAGGTGCTACCTTGTAGGACTGTCCGTCCTCTATGGTATCGAGTCTAGAGTTGATGGCATTGAATCTTATTGAGTCTTCCTTCGTCAGGCCGCTCTCCCACCAGTGAAGTATGAGCACGCACATGGTCTTGTGAAGAGGAAGTACGTTTTTCGGTATGTCTTCACGAACGGCTTGAACCACAGAATCCATACTCTTGAATTTCTCAAGTGGATCCGCCTCCTTTATTCCTTTATTTATATGCGCTTCTCGCTTTTTTTCTGCAGCTTGCGCTTCTTCGGAGTCATCTTCATCTTGTTGTTTGATCATCTTTTGTCGCCTTTCCGACCAAGCTTGATCAGAAATTCCGCTTGGTCGATCACCAAGTTCATATGACTCTTGTTCGGTTGCTTGAGTCTCCAATTCATCTTCCAAGGATTTCAACGGGTCGTTGTGAGTGGAATGTTTTGAGATGTCTACGCCGTAGATGACTGAGCTCTTCGCTAGAAGCAGAGCCCTTTCTTTCATCTGACTTTCATCTCCGGTTGTATCGTTCTTTTTAATCCATTGTAGAAGGAGTACAATTTCTTTCTCATAAATCAAAAAGTCCTTGCTTATTTCAACTTTGATGGCATTCTCAGCAGATTGTTGCCATTCGGGTGTCTTGTCTCCATTTGGTAGCACATAGCTATACAATTCATAGCGCTCATCGAATTTCTCGTGGTTGGCTTCATCTTGGGCCTTCATTTCTTTGTCGGAGAGCACTGGGCCATCGCCCATCTCCGTATCTCCTTGAACATTTGCTTGAGTAGTTGACATCTTGGTTGCTCGGGTTTGAGGTAGTTGTTAGGATAGCTGATGATTGACTGCTTAAATATACATTCACTATGCAACAGATGTACTTTCCAGTAATCAAATATCAAAATTCGATTATTGAAAACTAGGAAAGAAAGTTCAAATACTAAGTGAAAAAAGACCAGCAAATATATAAATGTCTGCATCATTTGTTTCGTACAGTGAACAAAACACGCAAGATGTACCACTTACAAGTTCCAAATGCGTCCGTCACTACGTCACCAACGTTATCTTGGAGCACTCCTGGAGCAAATTGGAATGCTTCAACCTTGACACCTGCCGAAAACATCTCTCAATGGACCCAACCTTACCATCCATTGATTTCTCGGCCAACCTCGCCTAGCCAACAAGTAGTTGAGATTGTTGTGGGTGCAGCGGGAATGTTGTCTTTCAATCCCAAATCAGTCACAGTTTCTATTGGGACCATACTACGGTTCAACTTCCTTAGTCTCAACCATACACTGACTCAAAGTTCTCTCGATAACCCTTGTTCAAACAGCTCGCGTTTTGATACTGGCTTCAACCAATTTAATCCGAAAAACATAAGTGGGAAGTTTCTTATTGATTATCCAGTCAACACTACAGAGCCTAAATGGTTTTACTGTGCTCAGAAAATCCCCAGGTCTCATTGTGAAGCGGGTATGGTTTTCAGCCTTAATCCTCAAAATGTGTCAACATTATCCATGAACATCGAACCAAGCAGCACTTCAGCCGTTTCATACTGCCATACTATACCCAGCACGTCTAGTGGATTGCAGCCCTTTCCCTCTGAAACATCAATGTCGCTCAATGCCTCGAATCCTCAGAACACGTCAATATTACCCGCGATTACGAATAATGCCGCCTTCTACACACCTAAACATCGCCTGATTGCCATATTGCCTATTCTTCTCTATGCACTTATCATGTTCTGTTATTACTGAGATTTGATTAATCAAAAACACTCAACAAGAATCACAATAAGGAAGATGTATGTAAGACTGAGCGTGTGTTTTGGAAATTGGAAACTGGAAATTGGAAATTTGATGATAAGGGTCTACTGTTTATAGGTAGTTTGCTTAAAGTTATGTTGTTATCTACCTTTAGTTATATTTATATACTACTCGAATGCTATCGCAAAGAAGACATAACCTTCCAGTTACAAAACAAACACTACAATCACCAACAAAATCAATGATGCAACCTGTATCTGCCGGATCGAGCTTTCATGCCTTCCAACGCCAGCTTATCTCGCGGTTGCTTAGTTACCGTGAGGTAGGAGACGAGTTGACGCCTGAATATCAAGCGGAGTGGGGGCCTACCAAGATGACATTGGAAGAGCTATGTACAGATTTTCAAGGTCAACCACTTCTCAGCCAAGTTCGCGTCTTAAGTTTGTGTCAGGCTATTGAAGCCATAGATGACTCAACGAAGCCTTACTATATCGTGCAGTGGAAGACAACGTGGGTTAGCCCAACCGAGCTCAGCACTTGCGCCTTCCTGCTACATGACTTCTGGGCTTGTGCCAATCGAAGGTAAGTGCAACGCTTATTTTTGTTCACAACAGCTTGCTAAGATAGAGAAGACGAGAAAAAGAGCTAGAGATTGGAAAGCAAGAAGGCGATATTTCACATTAGAATTCGCCTTAGTCTTCAACTATGGTGGCCAAACGGGGTTGACGCACGTACTCTATATTCCTATCATCCTCCTAGAATGTTGTAGTTAAACCAGATTGATCAATATACGCTATGTCCCTGTCATCTTCTAAGTTGCAGAAAAAGGTTGGCTTTCTTTCTATCACTGTTCTCCGCGATAGAGGTGATAAAAGGCGTATTCTTAATTCAAATCGACCCTGCATTGAAAATGAATCGATATCATACTCACGGAACAAAAGCGCAAGCTGCTTAATTCTTTTAGAGAGAGTTTTTGCTAAAGCCTGAACATAAAGCCTTGAGCTATTCATCATATCATGGTTGATCTTTGAAATTATTTGATGACTCGGAACAGTACAGGTGATGTAACAGTCCTCGCCTTCATCTATAGACACTATCGCTGGGTACGACATAGTTTAGAGAGAAGGATCTGCACATGTCAGGGTATCTAAGGTATATTTATGCTCTCTCAATAGGAACGGATTCTGTAAAATCAAAAATTGGTTGCATGTATTTCCGAGTTTCATATCCGGAGGTCTGATTTTGAGAAATAGGAAACCTTACCACTAAGTGTGCTGAACTGCGAGGGTTAAACTGATTCCGTGTTTGTGTCCAGAGTCTAATATTGGCGAATAGAAGGAGCTGGTCAAGGTTTTGACTTTCGAAATTTGAATTTAGTCTTTACTACTAATAACTAATCCATTTTCCAAATTCAGATTCGGTAATCATGTTTACGATATGCTGCCAGAACGTGACAATTTTCTAGTGCCCATATACGCCTTGCTCTTTCTATTGAACATTGCACTTGGAAACGGTATATAATTATCAACTCCAAATGTGTATTGCTTTTCATCTTTATTACGCAGTCCCTACCTTGGAATTCTAATATAGTCGTTAGCGATTGCGGCCTCACCTATCCGTGCAGCATTTCACAAAAGCAGTCATCATTAGATCGAATACTGGCCAATCACATCGACTATTCTGTAGCAGACATTGAGCGCTAAGCTATATATAGAGGGTAAGACTATCTAAAACTATTGCGTACCTGCGTGTAGAGTGAAACTGTAATAGCTAACAACTATAATATATGCTTGTGTTCTACAACTACTGCATGTCTATTATCTATTACCTATAGCGCTTTTTGTATATTACTCTAACCTAGGTCTGTTCTTTACCTGTATTATACGCTCGTGCACATATATAACCTACGACTCTTAACACTTAAAATAATGTACATCATTAGCGGGGTATATTGTATAGTAGGCTACTAATAAGTTTGGTAGTTACGAGACATAGCTAACTAAAATAAGGGTCTGGAATGGATTCTACTGGTCCTAGTCTACGCCGTCATTGCCATGCGTATCTACATGCGCCAATTCCGCTTCCGAAAAAACCTAGATATGGCTAGCTATCTTCTGATCGTCTTTGCCCTTAACGCTTTAGCTCTA